GGATAACCAGACAAACACTTAATTTCCCAAGTTCCCCTGGGATAAACATTCTATGTCCACTCATGATCAGACAGATGGACAGAAATACAATGTCCCCAGGAAATGTGGTAAGGGCATGAATGTAAAAAGACCTGAATGTTGTACAGATGGACTGACAAAAGAACAAAAACCTTCATGTCCCCTTGACTATGTGGCAGGGTATGGCGGGGGTATAAAAGATTCCATATGTCTACCTCGTTATCTTTTTTTCCAAGGAAACACTGGAAACATTGATTTTGATTTTTGTTTGACCTTACAGTAGGCATCATCTCATTCCCCAGAGTAGTCAATGGTCTAGTATTACTGTACACACAGGTGCATTTTACAATTTTCAAAATACCTACATACCAGCTGGTATTTCTTATAAGCGATATCAGATAACAGGTTAAGTATGTATCCTGGTTAAATGAAAGTGTGACCAATCATTAACTTAGATGACCAATGACATACCTTCTAGCTTTAGGTGACCAATGGAATAACGTCTAGCTTTAGGTGACCCATATATGACTTGACGTCTAGCTTCAGGTAACTAAATACTTGATGATAACTGTACTAATCAAATGGCCATCAGCAATTGTCTAGCTTCAGGTAACTAAATACTTTATGATAACTGTACTAATCAAATGGCCATCAGCAATTGATAACACCTAACAACAGTGTGGGTCAGTAATGGAGACCTTGTATGTTACATCATGTCCAGAAGCTATATATGTAAACTCAGACAGATAACGACTTCATCAGGACCATTATAAAAAGCCTGGTTAGATTCCACAAAAAAATACATTTAAAATAAAATCTGCAGTAAAGGTGAAATTTGATTGTTTAAACATGGAAATGAAATACTGATTGATAAAATTCAAATATAGTTTGTAGTAGTCAAAAAGAAGAGGGATTTAAACTAGTATATCGGGTGACTATAAGTGGACAAGCTTGACTAGATCTGTTGGCAGTATTCCCTAATTAGTACAGCTGTACCTCCCGACATAGCAGGAATACCAACCCCGTACACATACCCCAGTAACCTGTCCACTCACACCAACTGATAGAATACACACACCCCCACCCCCCCAACCACCACCACCCACCCGTATAGATATAATATTGAATTATATAGAACAAAAATAAACTCTAATAATTAAATTTGATCACTTTGATCACTGATACTAAGTTCTCAAACTTGGGGAGGAGAAGCTAGTAGTAAAATGCAACTGGGAAATTCTTCATAAAAACTTAAGGGCTCGTAGCCAGTTAAACCGACTGAAAAAAGACATGTTCATGCAGTGTATTTGATGAAAATATCTCTTCACTTTCTGCTTGATGTCTCAACACCATTCCCTAAAGACTCATTGGTCTAGATCTGTGTGTTTTAGTTGGCAGTGATCTACTATATGCCATATGCCTAAGCCATTTGCCTTCCCATTCACGAAAATGTGTTCTTGATAGTTTGGAAACACAACCTTTTCACAGGATAACATTTTTATTTTACAACGAATCTTTCAATGGACAAACTTGGCTACAAACTTTCTGAAAATCTTAGGTATTAATTTTCGAAGTCTAACTACCTTGGGGTTTTTTTATACATTACAGAATGGCAATGACCATAACAATTTATTTCTATGTATTAGTGTACAGGCCACCATAGAAATTTCTGGCATGTTTTCATCGAATACAAAAGAATTAAACCAAACAAAAAATATGTTTCCCCTTACAGCTTTAAAATAATGGAGTAGGTAAAGAGGCGTATCTTTTTACTATCAATAATCTTTTTTGTATCGAGCAGCAGGCCGTGGTCAGCACTTGTGTAGTTAAGTTATGGTGGGAGCTAGGTACACAGATGTAGTGTATTGCCACAGTTCACAGTGTAGGATGGCTGTCCATGTGGTATTGACCTAATGAGGTACACAGCATATTGTCATGTTAAACATTTGGGATGACTATGGTACGAACTGTTTAACTGTTGTGGTATTTTATCTTTTACTCCATCTTTAGGAGTTCCCTGAAGTCCTGTATAGGTGGCCACTACTACAGTAGGTAGATATTGATCAGCCTCTAATCAATAGGTGTAAGCATTTCTGAGGTTCACACTCTCCGGTTACCAACAGATGAGGATTCACATTTGTACAGCACAGGCGGTCTAGAAAATATTGAAAGTCAAGCTATTTTGTCAACATTTGATAAGGTTAGAAATTTTCAGAAAATAAAATGATCTAGAGTTTTTAAGTAACTATAAATGTGTAACCTAGCTACCACAACCCAACAGGTTTTCATTTTCTCGCAAATAAAAAATCAGCAATTTACAAAATTAACATTTTACTAAAGTCAATCTCGGCCATGCAGTTTCTGAATAATTTTCATCATAATCCAATCGTTCAATTTCCATATATATATACTATTAGAACAAGTTCAATTATCTACATCAGTGATTTTTGGGACACGTTTATGGAGTCCTGGACTAATTTTCTTGTGGGACTCGCCATCAATTTGTAGATCCACCATTTATTTTAGTATTGGACTAATCAAAGTTCTGAAAAGACGTTCAGGACATTTTGCAGGACTGAAACATATCTGTACATCTGTCTAGATATTAAATTATAATCTGACAACATTTACCATACAGACAGAGGCTACGAGTTTACAAACAATTTCACACAGAGAGTCCTGGGTACAAACTTCCCCACTGAGGGTACAACTTGTAGGTATAACAACAGTTGTCTGCCCTTGGTTCCTGTACATAATGAGTAACTAACATCGACAGGAAGTTGAGAGTAAGAAAGTCAGGATGTCGACAACCTGGTCAGTGAACATACAGATATAGCTGTATGAGGCCAGGAAACTGTTTACAAACATGTTTGTGAGTCAGATTGTAGGCTAGAATCAGGGTATGCATATTGAAGCGGTCTTCAATCTCATTGAAGCATACAAATACAAAAGGACTGCAATCATATTCCTGATTCCTATAGAAAAAATACAAAAGATCCTTACAATTGTGATATAGGGATTGTATGGCTTCTTACATGTTTCCCAGCATTGATGAACTTCCATCTTTTTGCGAATCAGCATTTGTATTAATTTCATATTTTCTTTCATATCTTGAAAGTACAGATTACATTCAGCATGTTTGTTGGCTTTCCATATACAGTGAAATCATTTTACGCTCTATAACTTTCAAGAAAATTTTGAAAACAACTGTACTATTCAAATTGTTTCCTATTATGCATGTATCTCTGTAAATAATTACTACTTTAATTTGTGTATATATAAATCTCTACCTCTCAGCTCTATCTACTATTATAGAATGTAATAAAAGTATGGCCAGAAACACAACATCAAGTTTAATCACTACATGGCCTTTGTAAAGATAGCAGATCCAGGTGAAATGTATCTATTCTATCATAAAGAAATCAGGGCGATGTACCAGCTGTATGTACATTGTAACATGTAAACTGTTGTGTACATTGTAATTTGTAACCAGCTAGCCAGCATAATTAACTATACAAATCAAATCCCTCCTTGGCTAATCGTGTAATTGGCTAATCTAGATAAACTGATCAGCCATGCAGTGATCTAGGTCAAATTCTACAAAGTGTACTCCAAATCTAGTATGTACTGGTGTGAAGGAAGATGAAACTAAACAACTAAGATAAATCTGGTAATACTGAAAGTTAGTCTCCTGTAGATTGGAGTCCAGAATTTCAAATATCTGTATCAAAACAGACTACAATTCCCCTTTTCTAATATTTATAATTGTTTTTGTGAAAACCCTCAGACAGATGTTTAAATATAAACCCTACTAAGTCTGTATAGGGTAAGTTAATACTGCAGCTGTGCCCATGATTAATGGGCTCTAAGGAACTCCTATGTCATATACAGATAAAACATGGAGTTAATGGATGGCCTCTTCAAATGTTTCCCAATAAATCTGAGAACGTCCTTTATCTTTTTCATCAAAAGCACAATAAAAACTAGACAATAAGTAAGCCGATTATAGATGTGTTAAAAAGCATGACCAGTATTCGAAACTTACAGTGTAGGTCAACACAACTGTAGACTGATATCTATCAACCGAGCCACTTGGTTAACAACAACAAACTATACTGTTCATAGGCCCTATCAAACCATTGACATTCTGTAATGAGAATTGTGTATGGACTCCTCATAAAACCATTCCAATATTATATACTGGAATGAGTTAGTTTGACATGGTTTAAGTTCAATAACACTTAAAGAATATTTATTTACAGGAAAACATTTTCAACACAGCATTAGCTCAGGAAGTCAGTCTAGGGCACTTGTGTATTCAAAATTAACCCTATGAAAATATCATATATACTGTACTATAACCCCATTTTGTAGCACTGTCTATAATCTGTAAATGCATGTTAACTGTTGCATCTTTTGTTTTCCCAACTTATTATATTTCTTCTTACTGCCAACAAGATTACACTACACGAGAAACACCAAGTCATAGTAAAAACAATTGCAATAAACATTTTCAAAGGGAAGTAAATGTTAAGATAGTTAAGTCCTTGGGATTCCGTGACAAAAACATCACAGGGGCTCGGTTTCGGGATAATTTCGGATAGTAATAAACCTATACACACCAGTAAATAACAGCAACACTTTGTATTAGGTGATTATTTATAATGTTTTAGAATGTGTCTAAACACCGGATAAAAAGTGTTGCTGTTATTATTTACTGGTGTGTATAGGTTTATTACTATCCGAAGTATTCCGAAACCAAACCCTGTTAAAAACATCGGAATACACACCCACCCCGCCCCTTCAGTAAAGATGCTGAAACAATCACTATAAATCATCAATAAGCTGCTAAAAGCTGACAACTGATTGCCAACATTTAGTTTAACGGAAAGAATCAAACTGCGTTCAATGACACCTCTTTTTTTCACATAGACTATATACAGAGAAATTGATGAGGAAATGTGTGTATTTGTTGAACAAACCTCTTCGAGAGTTAACACTGTATTTCGACAGTGCGACATCCTCTTGGAGAACGCGGACGTAGTGGGGGACTTGTAATCGTCCCATGTTTCACTGAGAAACTCCGAAACGGTAATTTGTTCCGGCATTTCGCCTAGCTTATTCCCTCTCTAACCGAGTCGTCCGCATCAGAAACACAGGAAGTCAGTCTAGGGCACTTGTTGTGTATTCAAAATGGCCACCTCCCTCGGGCTGAATTTCCTTTGAACTTCCGATTGGTTCACAGCTGTCGTCTTCCTATAGTCTGTTTCAGAATACTTCGTAACATCAGTAAGTAATCTGTGTTAGTTCACTAAGGTAAAGTTCTAATAAATTAGTATGTTCCCACTGTATTTAGAGTTTTAGAAATAGCATTCAAAGCGATTCATTATCCATTTTTATTCATATATATAAATTCATTTCCATTCGTCACTCATTCTATCATTCGTAACATAATTACTTACTTTATACAGAGACATATTATAGTATATATATATATATTATTCATTCATTGCCACAGATTTACTCAATCGATTTTAATCGATCAGTCATTGTTCATTTAGTTCCACCGCGGACTTTTTATCTAATTACTTGGTTTCGCGGACTTTGCCGCTATTTTTCATTCATTAATTATTTTGTTCGTTCGTCCACGGAGTATAAATTATAACATCGTGTTTTGTTTTCCAGGGATAATAAAGACACGTTCTCTGTCAAACCACATTCATTCATTCATTCATTCATTCATTCATATTCATTCATTCATTCATTCATTCATTCATTCATTCATTCTTAATAAATCAATTACTTTAATTTTCATTCACTCATTATCGTCTTTAATTACTCATATGTTATCGAACTGTTCAGTCATTTTTTATTAAGTTTCACGAGGCGTAAATTATTACCTCATGGGTTTTTTTCAAGAGACGAAATCATATTCACGTTCTTTGCAAAACAAAAGTTTTTGATATCAGGAACTGCGTCGGCCACGTGAAACAATTAAGGCCGTATTTTTAACAAGTTCAAGTTCAAATATTTTATTTTCGTGTCAAACACATAGTATTCATAAAATCACAATACATATAAACCTTTGAATATCAAATGTACTGTCTAGCCAAAATGACTTATTAGACACGTTATAAAAAAAATCACACTATTTACTTTTAAAAGTATCTTCAAACATGTAATGTTATTGACCAGTTTTTATAAAAACAATTATGCTTGATAAGAATTTATTTGTAGCAGGACTATAATGTCCATATATATATATATAATACCATGTACGTACCCCAAAGTGTAAGTGATATACAAGAGTGGTTGGGTCTATCCCCACCGACAAATTATATATCCCCCACCCCATACCTGCACATCTAATTATAATACATAATTTAATATGGGAGAAACATAGTTCTTCTCCTCCACATAAGAAAAAGTTGGGTAGCTAGTGTTTTTTGGAGAACTGGTTCCCACATCACATAAGAGAACGTTGGGTAGCTAGTGTTTTTTGGAGAACTGGTTCCCACATCACATAAGAGAACGTTGGGTAGCTAGTGCTTTTTGGAGAACTGGTTCACGCATCACATAAGAGAACGTTGGGTAGCTAGTGTTTTTTGGAGAACTGGTTCACACATCACATATCTAAACTGTTCAAATGTTCATATCATTGAAAAATCCATATACATTGTTTGCTTTCGTTAAAATTACAGATCTAAGATCATCATAAAATATACATTCCATTAAAAAATGATACTCGTTTTCTACATCATTGTTGCACAATTTACATAACCTATTATTGACAGGAAACACAGGTCGGGCATGCCTACCTTTTTCAATTTCAAGGGGCAAAGAGCCACATCCAAAGTAAAATAAAATAAATCTTTTACATTTGAGATGTGCAGATTTTACATAATCGCTAGTGACAGGCTCATACTTGTAAGTTCTATATGTAAGCAGTTTATTACCATTTACATTGTTTGTGTCATCCCACAAAGACAACTGCCACTTATCATCATCTCCTTCATACATTTGTACGTTGATGTATTTGCGGTTAAAACTACCCGAGAGTCCCAGTATTTTCTAATAGAACATGACCATTTATGAATGGCTGCAGTAGTCTGCTATCATCGCAGTTTTTGTAAACGTAAATAAAGTCTAAAAACTTCAGTTAATTGGTTAACTTCACATGAATTCCAACCCATATCTCCTCGAAGGGCTACCGTGCTTGCTTTTCTAACAGCACCCAGAAAATACCTGCATGCTTTATTTTGAACCATAGCCACTTCTCTATATTTATTCAGGCCCCAGATTCCAGTACCATAAAATAGCACTAGTTCTACCAGGGATACATACAGCTTACAGTAAACTTCGTAACACCTTTCTCCAGCATGTACATAATTGGAATAAAGAGCATACAATACTCTACTTGCAGATTTACACAATTCTTGTACAGTAAAATGTAAATTGAAGTGTTCATGAAACCATAAACCAAGGTATTTGTAATTCTGGATTTGTTCTATAGGTATATCACCACATGTAAAATTGAAATGTGTTATAGGTACAGATAGATTGCGAAAATGCCTTTTTTACACCAACTACCAAGCTTGTCTAACATATGTTGCATTGACTCCTCATCTGGTGCGGCAAGTGCTATATCATCCGCATACAGAAGTATGGATACCTGGGCATCATCGACCTTGGCACCTTTACCTAGTGATTGAATATCGGAGGCCAGATCATTTATATATAATGAAATAATTGTTGGTAGATTTTACATCCCTGTTTCAATCCTTGTTTTACTTCAAATGCCTCTGTAAGTTTACTGTTAATCTTTACCCTTGATTGGATATCATGGTACAAGGATTTTATGGCTTGTAAGTAGATGCCATGGATACCAAAATATTGCATTTTAATCCATAAAAACTCACGTCTAACACAATCAAATGCCTTTTTCATACCGACAAAGCAGACAAAAGCAGAATGTTTCCTAATTTTCCAATTTTTTAAAATAGAATATAAAATGTACTGATGATCAAGACAACTACTTTTCAACTATTAATCAGCATAGATTTTGCATGTGATAGATATCAAAGAAATCCCTCTGTAACTTAATGGTGACATTGGATCTTTCCCTGCCTTCAGTATAGGGTTTATAATAGTATGTCCCCAAATATCTGGGACTTGACCGTTGACAAAACAAAATGTTAAAATATCAAATAAAAGGTCTATGCACGCTAGGTTACGTAAAACCGAGCTCTGAATAGCATCCCTGCTGCTTTATTAAGTTTTGCTCGAAAGACAGCATCTTCAACCTCTTTCCTTGTAATGGGTAAATTAAGATCATTGCTACTCACATTTGACGGTGGACCCAAAGCGTTAATAAGTTCTGTGTAATTAACTTCATCATTTTCCACTGGGACATTGTACAGATCACTATTCCGTCTTTGCGTATTGCAGAGTTATCTCTTTTCTTCTCTTGTGAGCAGGTATTGATTGTTACGTCATTGGTTTGTGTGAGAAAATTACGTCGTTTTCTCAAAAATTGATGACGTTACTCTCACAAACCAATGACGTAACAATCAATACCTGCTCACAAGAGAAGATAACTAATCAAATTACCATCTGCACCTATGACTTCTGTAGGAATAATATTTTTGTGTTCATGATGTATACCCAATTTACCTATTTGCTTCCAGAAGTCCTTTTGAGAATTATTATACACATTCAAAAGGTCTTCCCGTTTTGACGCCTGTAATTTTCTTTTCTCCTTACGTAAAACAACATCATTTTTTTTACGGTCTTTTACAATTTTTTCTTTCAAACAACGTCTTTCATGAGATTGGCCTTTAAAACGTAACCATTCCTTCTCACTTTTAGTGCGAGTTGCCCATAAAACAGTTAATTCACTTGTCTAGTAAGGTTTACGTCTAGTAAAAGTTGACTTTAACCTAAAGTCATTATTCACTATTAACATTTTCAGCGCAAAAGTATTTGTGATGTGTTTTTTGTTTCCATTTATTGTAACTATTTATTTCACTCACTCGTTAATCGGTACACGATGGAATGATTCATTATTTTTAATTGATTTACACGCAGTTTTGCAGAAACTGTGTAATCATCATGTTTGTATGCATAGGTGGTTCCGTACATTGTATATTGAAAATTCTAAACAAAGAACAACTCAATCGGACCTCTCAGCTACGGGTCATGCAATAAGTATGTTACCAAACCTTTTTGTTTTACAATTGTGAACTGAAATAAACTCCAAATGACAAAACTCGGAGCGCTGTTCTGTCTATAAACTTCATGGATCACTGAACCTCCGCCTATAACACAGATCTAATGTAATTATCATCGTGTAAAGATTGAGATATGTGTATGTTCATTAATTATAATTAAACCACTCCACGTGGTATATTGCTTTGAGCCATGTGTAGTATACATTTCTTATAATATTAATGCCGGTAAATTAAAGGAGATATGGTATTTCTATGTTTAAGGCGGGTGTTCCGACTATACAATACACTTTGCTATTTTGTTGGTCTTTATTGTTATTTAGTAGTGACTAGGCTTTTGTTATTATATATTATTGTGTGTAAATATATAATTACCTGTATCTGTATTGGATAAGTTCAGTTATTGGTATCATTGGGTGTGTGTATATATTACTACACGAATCTGTATTAGTACGGAACTAGATCTATCTACGTCCGTGGTATTTTAAACAAATCCTTTTGGGTTTTATTTTATATATAATTGCCCGTACTGTAAGGAACCAAAATGCTTTGTTTGCACGAGATTAATCATGTTTCACGAGAGCAAAATAATCGTGTTTCCCTGCCACAAGGTCGATAAACATTTCATCACACCGACAGAAAACGATGACAAAAGAAATGGTCAAGTTAGGCTTCATTTATGTCGTCTGCTTCAGTCATTCGGAACCCAGGCGTAGTGGCTCTTGTATATATTTCAAAAGAGGCTCCGGGTAAGGGAAATTTGACCGGGAAACTCGAGCGCGGGAGGAATGCACAATGATTTGTCTCCCTGTCATGTGACCTATATAATCCAATCCGACACGATGCTATACATATGAGGTATAATGATATAAATGTTCGCCCTTGGGATAGTGGAACCTAATCCTTTGTTTTCCCGAGATTAATGATGTTTTACGAGGGCAAATACAGTGATACGATCAAATAGAGCCTGTGTTTTAAT